GACTCAGAAGAAGCTCCTGGCTCCTGGCTTCGGATTGGCCCAGCTCTGGCTGTTGTGGCCATCTGGGGAGTGAACCAGCAGATGGAAGACCTCTCTCTCTGCATCTGCCTTTGCCTCTGCTTCTAGTTCTCTGTAACTCTTTCAGGTAAAAATAAATCTTAAAAAAAAAAAAAAAAGAGACATTGGGTGGAAAGTCACATACCAAACCATATTTTTTTTTAATATTTGGTGATTTTGAGGTAAATGTCATACAGTGTCACTCCCCCTCTTCACGGAGGAACGACACAGGACCCTGCGCTGTTCTTTTGTCTGCTCGGCCCTCCCCGGGTTTGCTGCTGGTTCTTCCCGGGTTGGCTGCCGACCCTTCCACCTCCGTGGAAGGGCGGTTCCCCCTGCCACTTTCCCCACTTCCGCGGGGGAGCGGCACACCGCCGGCCGGCTCTCTGGGGGCTGCACAGGTGTTCTTTCAGCTATTAGAAATAATGAATGAGGGGCTGGCGCTGTGGCATAGGTGGTAAAGCCACCGCCTGAAGTGCTGGCATCCCATATGGGCACCAGTTCGAGACCCGACTGCTCCACTTCCAATCCAGCTCTCTGCTATGGCCTGGGAAAGCAATAGAAGATGGCCCAAGGCCTTGGGCCCCTGCACCCAGGTGGGAGACCTGGAAGAAGCTCCTGGCTTCTGGCTTTGGATCGGTGCAACTCTGGCCGTTGCAATCATCTGGGAGTGAACCAGCGGATGGAAGACCTACCTCTCTCTCTCTCTCTCTCTCTCTCTCTGCCTCTCCTCTCCCTGTGTAACTGTGACTTTCAAGTAAAATAAATAAATCTTAAAAAAAAAAGTAATGAATGAGAGCTCTTTGACTTTGGGGGATTTCTACAAGGATTGTTAGGTAAGAAAAGAAAAATGCATTTAAGTGATAAAATATAATTCCACTTTTGCCTAACAGAGTGTACCTATGGATGTATGCATGTATGAATATGACATAAGCCTATGAATATGGAAACATTGCAGTAGGTTGTTAACACATACGTTATCTGGGTAAACAGATGGCATGAACATCTTTGTGCTTTTTCACTTGCTACACCAGGCACACATGTATTTTTACAATTAGGAAACAACAATTATTTTTTAAAATGTGACAGCTTCCATATCAACCTAACACCACTGACACAGATTACATTATACAATAGGGTAGTCCACAATGCTATCTATCCTAGGGAATCTTAGTGAAGAACTTTTTTTTTCCCCCAAAGATTTATTTATTTGAAAGTCTGAGTTACACAGAGAGAGAAGGAGAAGGAGAAAGAGGTCTTCCATCCACTGGTTCACTCCCCAATTGGCTGCAACATCCCGAACTGCACCCATATGAAGCCAGGAGTTGGGAGCTTCTTCTGGGTTTCCCACATGGGTGCAGGAGCCCAAGGATTGGGCCATCTTCTACTGCTTTCCCAGGCCATAGCAGAGAGCTAGATTGGAAGTGGAGCAGCCGGATCTCGAACTGGCGCCTATATGAGATGCCGGCACTGCAAGTAGAGGCTTTACCTGCTATGCCACAGTGTGGGCCCCAGTGAAGAACTTAATAGGCTTCGATACAAAAGCACTTCACTTACGTAATTTTAAATTTCATTTAGCTAAATTATTGGTTTAGAGAGCATGTTAGACAGACAATGCTATGAATAATATTTTATTCTTTTTGAGCTAATGAACGTTAACAAATGTTTTAAAATATTTAAGTGTGAAGACAGAATAATAACATGATACCTTAGATGAATTGTCTTTTAGAAAATTAAACAAAATTGTGGTAACATTTATGAGACTAAACAAAATAACCTTTATGAATTGTATTTAATGTTTATCTATTCAATTCCATTTAGGCCATGAATCTTTCATGAAAATGTCCTATTTGGGAATTAGTCACACCTTTCGAAAATAAATCATTCTCATGTTAGCTTGGCTTCATCAAAATTTCATGAAAAAAAACTTCAAAATTGTGTACAACAACATCACATTATGAGTTATATTTGATCTGGACATAATAAAGAACATGAAGAACATAAAAAATAAAGAAAAATAAATTAATCCTCTACCTACCTCAGCTGAATGTGAATGTCTATTTGGCATGGAAAATGTCCAGAGTGTTGACCTGAGAAGAAAGTTAACAGCTAGCAACGTCAAGACATGATTGTTCCTGTACTATAAAGCCAAAAAAGTTTCAATGACTATTAAAGTTTTTAATAACAACATCATCATAGTTTTCCAAATAAAATTTCAGATTTAAACTTATTTCCAAATAGTTCAGCTACTCCTGGCAATATTTGGCTTCTGCCTGGTTGTGGCTCATTCCTAGGTCATTTGGCATCTGGACAAAGTGTATTAAGTGGACCATTAAATGAAAATATTGAATTAGATAAACACTGGTGCTTTACTGCAAAATGTCACTTAGGAACAGTAATGAGCATAGCCTCAAATCCCAGTCACATAGTAACTTTTTGGTTGTCAGTTCCACTGGCTCAATATTGTAGTGCTTATGCTCAAGTAATCCTAATTTTACACTACAGTCTAAGTAATGCATCATTGTGTTTACATCACAGAGTATACCCACACAAGCTAAGATGCCCATTGTACCACTAGGCAATATGAATTTATGGGATTACTGCTCTACATGAGGGTACTTCAAAAAATTTGTGGAAAAAAATGGAATTAAGAGATAAGCCTATCTTGGTGCCAACAATTGATATCCTTGCATTTTTTTCATAATATACATTTTCATAAACTTTTTGAAGACTGCTCATATTATGGGGTCTGCCATTGACCAAAATCTTGTTATGTGGCACATGACTGTACTTAATAATGGTTCCAAATTGCATGCATTTGAATTTGCCAGAGAGAAGAAGCAAGGTCTGTAAGGTGAAAGTTCTCAACTCAATAAAGAAAGAAAAAAAAATCATATGTCAAGATTGTTAAGATCTATAGAACAATTAGATATTTTGAGAGACCACTTTCCTATAACATATTCACAGTATATTGTTAAAATTTGCTATCTGATTGTTAATGTTGTTAATCTCTTACCATGCCTAATTTATAAAAAATATTTATTTATTTATTTGAAAGAGTTACACAGAGAGAGAGGAGAGGCAGAGAGAGAGAGAGAGAGAGAGAGAAAGTCTTTCATCCACTGGTTGACTCCCCAGATGGCTGCAACAGCTGGAGCTGCACCAATCCAAAGCCAGGAGCTTCTTCCTGGTGCAGGGGGCCCAAGGACTTGGGCCATCCTCTACTGCTATCCCAGACCATAGCAGGGAGCTGGATTGGAAGTGGAGCAGCCTGGTCTCAAACCAGTGCCCAAATGGGATGCCGGCGCTTCAGGCCAGGGCGTTAACCCACTGCACCACATGCCAGCCCCCAAATCAGGTATTTTCAACCAGCATGCTAAAACTCTCTTATGTATGTAGCAGGATAATGTTTTAAGAAACACTGCTGTAATAGAAATCTCTGTTTCAAATTTGATAATCACCACCATGGGCTGCCTTCATGTTTTTGTAATAAGAGGAGCTGTGCAAACTGGCACTGTCATATACATAGAGCTTGAAACACATTATGTTATAGTTTTTCTAAATTAAAAAATAAAACTAGGATATGACTCACATCCCTGGGGTCACACCACATTTTTTTTTTTAGTACTGAAGAGCAGCTAAAGGGCTGGTAGATAAATTTGTGAGCCTTTTTAAAAAATGTTTATCTGTTTTGCAAGGCTTTAGTGGTAACCTTTGTGCTGAGAGTGTAGTGAGTGGGAAGTTGGCATGGAAGCATAAAGAGAGGATTGAAGCTGGAATATAGTGAGCAATTGTATAAAAGGACTATGAATCCAGCCCTACAGTGATTTTTCGTGGCTTTCAATTCCTAAATTTACTTTCGGTTAAATGAAAGCAGCCATCTAAGTGATGTGCTGGAACTCAGGTCAGGGCTAACATTGTAGATCTCAGTTCCAATTTCATAAACTTATATATTGAAATAAAACCCCAAAGGCAAACAATACGTTTCAATCACATTGTAAATCATTTTTCTGGGTTGGTTCTTTCCATCTTTAGCCAGAATGAAATCTGGGACAAATTCCAGGCCAGGACAAAAATACAAAATTCCATACTCCCCATTCTTTGATCATGTTGCCTTGAATTGAAGTGGATATTTGGCAGTTAGTCACTGGAGAACTTGAAATTTTTCTGATTCACTCTCTTCATTAATCAAATTGACCAAGTAATTTCAAACCCTTCAGTCCGCTTTGTACCTTCCTGTGACTAACTCAGGATGTAGATTCTTACGTCAGAGACTATGGAAATAAAAAGGATGCTTAAAACCGATCTAGATCCACAACCCATTTACCCGAGAGGAAGCTGAATCCACTGCTCTTGGCGGAGTTGTCCACGGTTAGAAGGCTTGGGTTAGTGGCAGAATTGGGACTCAAATTCAGGGATTCTGTTGGAAAAGCAAGTTCTGAAACCCCGCACTGGGGTGTAGTGGCCCTTTTGTGCTGACCTGTGGGTTAGTGGCTATGGGGGTGTGGCACGAACATTTCAATTTCACAGGAAAACAGCCAGTGCAAACTTCCCTTAACAGGGCTGTTCAGGATCAGGCCTTTTCCTTCTTTCACTTGGGAATAATAAACATAAAGGGGAATAATATGGGGTAAATCACTTCGGGCATGCCTGGCATATACTAAGGCTCAAGCTTATCAGTGATTATTGCTACACTGCCGCTATGTCAGAGGCTTGCTACGAGTTCCATAACTTGCTAAATACAGAGTGTGTGTTTTCATCTGGTTAAGAGCCAGCCACTGCGTCCTTTACCGCGTCAGCACAGGCTCCGCCGCGAGGCCCGTCCCTTTAAGCGCGGGCACCGCGGTCATTGCGCGCGCTCGTCTAGCTGTGACGTAAACGAGGGGGGTGGGCGTTGGAGACGGAGGCGTTTGCTTCCGGGTCAAAGAATCTTCATTTCCGGAAAGAGCCGTAGTTGCAGACGCCGTTGGGCGGCGTGTGCTCTACTTCCTGGTCCGGTGGTTTCGGGCCCGGTAAGCCAGACATGAAGATCACGCGGCAGAAACACGCCAAGAAGCATCTTGGCTTCTTCCGCAACAACTTCGGAGTCCGCGAGCCGTACCAGATCCTGCTGGACGGCACTTTCTGTCAGGCGGCGCTGCGGGGCCGCATCCAGCTGCGGGAGCAGCTGCCCCGCTACCTTATGGGGGAGACGCAACTGTGCACCACCAGGTGGGCCCGGAGGGAAGGAGGCGCAGGGGATCCGGCGGGTGTGGTGGAGGCGAGGCCCCTGCTCTCAGATCTCCACTGGAGACCGCTGGGTGCGCGCCGCCCCGCCCACGAGTAGTTGACAGTAGAGTGTCGGCGCTTAGGAGGTCAGGCAAGTATCTGCAATGTGGGCGGAAAGTTCAGGGCCCTGCGGATATCACGGACCATCGTGAGCCTGGCGATTAATAACACGTGTTTTGTAGACCCGAATGTTGGTCCCAGCCCCACTAAGCTCCGTGATTTCGAGCAGACCAGTGAACCTCTCGACTCTCGGACTGCACATTTGTGGAACAAAGATTATGAGTGTTTATGAGGTTGCTGTGCCATCAAAGGAAGTTTAGTGTACGTCGAGCATTTTTCAGTATCCAAAACATACCACTCCTTAAACGTTTGTTATTTACGTAGCTTGACCTGGTGTTAACCAGAACTTTGCAAATCTCACGTCTCGTCTGGTCGGTTCTCTTTATTGAATACTAGCCATGTACCAAGCACTTGCCACCGGGGATGCCATGGTGAACTGGACAAACTCCAGACCTTCATGGGCAGCAAAGTGCCTAAGTCAACGTCCGATCCTGTGTTTTCACTCCATGTCTGATGCTTAACTCCTTCGTCAAAGTGGGGACACTTTGGATGCAACCTTGAGGTGGTGGGGAGAGAGGGAGAAGGGAATTGTGGAAGGTTTCGAAGAGGAGATAACGTTTGAGCCCATTCCCTTGTTCAGTTCTGCGGGATGGAGGAGAAAACTGAATGACAGACACATGTGGCATTCCTGGTTGTAAAACCTCTTGAGCAAGGGAATGGAGTTGTGAGATACCTAGGGAAGCACACACAATAATTGGATATGAAGCTAGGAATAAGGGAGTTGAAGTCACATCATGAACTTAAATTTAGTTAAGGCAAAAAAAAAAAAAAAAAAAGGAGGCATGCTTTTTGGTGTAGTGATTGATAAGCTGCTTGGGACACCTGGCATCCCATCATCAGAGTGTGTGGGTTCCACTCTAGCTCTCCCTGGATCCCAGCTCCCTGCTGATACACGCCCCGGGAAGCAGAAGATAGTAATTGCTCAAGTAGTTGGATCTGTGCTACCCAAGTGGGAGACCTAGGTTGAGTTTCCCCTTCCTGGTGCCTGACCAGCTCCTGCTGTTGCAACCATTTAGGGAGTAAACCAGCAGGCAGCAGATATCACTCACAGTCTCTCAAGTAGATAATTAATTTTTACAAAAAGACAAAAATAAATGACTCAGAACAATTACTCCCGAGTAACCCCATTACATGTGCTGTATCATGTATCGAGTTCTATAATCACATGCACTAACACAAGAGTGGCTGTTTACTATGTATATTATGTTAGTATTCTACTTTTTCTTATGTAACACTTCCAAATTTTTTATAACATTGCTCCAAATGAACAATTTTCCAAATTTGTTTAGGATTTGTGCCTCAGCCGGGCTACAGATACCCCCAAATTTTTGAGCTGTTTAGCTCTTTAGGGTTGCCAGACAAATTCATCTGTATCCAGAAATGTTTGCCTCTGGCTACAAGCTGTTTATTCATTTAGCCCTGTGTGTCATAGAAATATAATGTTAATATGATACTGTCCTATAAGAAAGGTTGAACTTAAGGTGAAGTTTTAGTCTACAACATTTTTTTTTCTGAAGTGTTTAATTCGACTTCTGGAATTTTCAGACAACACAAAAGTAGAGTTCAGTAATGAAACATCTGTCATCCAGCTTTTGCCACATAGCTAGTTTTGTTGAAGCTCCCACCTCCTAAATGATAGGATATTTAGAGTGTATTCTGTCAGTTATTTGGTGTATATCACGAAGGGAGAAACAAGCCTTCTAAATATCAGGATCCAAATAACATAACCAAATTACATTTGATTCTATGCCTCTTAAGTTTTAAGACATAACCTTTTCAATTAGCTATTTATGTCTTTAAGAAATCAGGTCATTTCTTGAACACTAGTAATTAGATCTAGATCTTATACATAGTTTGAAGAAATTTGAAGCGAGTTGATGGAGTAGAGCAGTGGAATATTATCAGACCTGGGTTTTGTTTTAGGAAAGATAACTGTGGCAGTGTAAAAGGCAAGAGAGTAAAGACAGGCAAGCCTGTTATGTGGTTGTTGAATCGAGAAATGATGGGAGCCTGAACCTGCGAGGGGAAAGGCAATGCTAAGCGTTCTGTAAGATGTCAGTTAGATAGGACCAACAGCTGATGGAGTAGGGGTGGGGATAGGAAGGTCGAGTGTGATTTCTGCTTTCCACCTGTGTTCTCTGGGAAGGTAAAGATTATAAGAGCTAGCAAGTCTGGGAGGAGGCATTTGAAAGCACTTTGGAAAGTACTTTGCTTGTTTTTTAAAGATTATTAGAAAAACAGACTGACAGGGAGAGACAGACTAAGAGCTTCCATCCACTGGCTCACTCCTCCCCACCCCTGTGGCCTGCAATGTCCTGGGCTGGGCCAGGCTGAAACCAGGAACTCCATTCCAGTCTCCTATATGGATAGCAGGGACCCAGTGCTTGAGCCGTCATCTGCTGCCTCCCAGGTGCATCAGCAGGAACCTGAATCAGAAGCAGAGGTGGGACTCAATGTAAGGCACTCTAATGTAGGATGCAGGCATTCTAAGTGGTATTTTAACCCCCTGTTCCACAGCACCCATCCCACTAGTTTGATTTTTAGACATGTTGAATATAAAGAGCTGATGGCAGGACACCTATGGGAAATAATAAGTGGTTGGCAGTACTCAAAATAGAGGTCAGAACTGATGCTAGAAGACAACAAAATCAAGACACAGTGATTAAAGATTCCTCTTGGCAGGGCTGGCCATTGTGATGCAGCTGGTTAAGCTGCTGCTGCCCGTGACATTGACATCCAACAGGTTCTAGTCCCTGCTGTTCTGCTTCCAGTCTAGTTCCCAACTAATGTGCCTGGGAAGGCAATGGAAGATGGTCCAAGTACTTGGTCCCTGTCCACTCATCTGGGAGACCCAGATGGAGTTTCAGGCTCCTCCAGCTTCTGGCTAATGTGTACTCTGGGAGGTAGCAGTACTTAGGTCAAGTACTTAGGTCCCTGCCACACATGTGGGAGAGCTGGATTGAATTTCTGGCTCCTGGCTTTAACCTGGTCTAGTTACAGCTGTTGTAGGCATTGGGAAGGTGAACCAGCAGATGGAAGATATTTCTCTCTCTCTCACCTTTCAAGTGAAATAAATAGAATTTTAAAGCCTTAGGAAGTGATAGAGTATAAAGAATCTGGCAGTGGTTGTGGAAGATTGAAAAAATCTTTGACTCAGTGGTTCTCATATTTGTTTTGTTTGTTTTTTAGTGGGAGGAAAGAAGTGCTTGAGGAACTTACTAAGATACTAATATATGACCCCTCCACAAGAGACACAGATCTTGGGATGAGAGAAGAGCCAGAAATTAACACAGCCTGATATCACCGTGTCATTCTGATATTATTTATACTTGAGGCTGAGAATCTTGTCTTATGTTAACATGAAAATGCAGATGTAAAGTTGTGATTGCTTTTAAATAATCTGATGACTTGAAAATTTTACTTTGGGCCAGTGCTGTGGCACAGTGGTTTAAAGCCCTAACCTGCGGTGCCAGCATCCCATATGGGCGCCGATTCAAGTCCTGGCTGCTCATCTTCCAATCCAGCTCTCTGCTATGGCTAGGGAAAGCAGTGGAGGATGGCCCAAGTCCTTGGGCTCCTGTACCCATCTGGGAGACCCTGAGGAAGCTCCTGGCTTTGGATCAGCTCAGCTCTGGCCATTGCGGTCATTGGGGGAGTGAACCAGCAGAATGGAAGACCTCTCTCTCTCTCTCTGGCTCTACCTCTCTCTCTAACTCTTTCAAATAAATGAAATCTTAAAAAAAAAAAAAAGAAAATTTTACTTTTCTGAATTGAAAATATTTTGAAAAATGTACCAATTTATACTTGAAGTAGAAGCTTATTACACAGTGGGGCAAGAGATCTATTGTCAGATTACTTAGATTCATTTCTCAGCTCTACCATTTAATTTGAATTTGGGCATGTTACTTGAAATGGCATTCTCTAAAGTAAGGATAATTTTAAGACAAGCTAACTAAATTCCTAGAGTTTATGTAAAGAACAATTTCCATGCTTCCTGGAACATAAAAAATGTCCAGTGAATTTTGTTGTACTTTCTACTTGTTGAATGCGTTTTTCAAGTCTTTTTTTTTTTAAGATTTATTTTATTTATTTGAATGACAGTTAAAGAGAGAGGCAGAGACAGAGAGAGAGGTCCTCCATCCATTGGTTCACTCCCCAGATGGCCACAACAGCCAGAGCTATGCTGATCTGAAGCCAGGAGCCAGGAGCTTCCTCTGCGTTTCCCACATGGGTGCAGGGGCCCAAGGACTTGGGCCATCTTCCACTGCTTTCCCAGGCCACAGCAGAGAGCTGGATCGGAAGAGGAGCAGCCAGCAGCAGAACCGGTGCCCATATGGGATTATGGCTCTTCAGGTCAGGGCTTTAACCTGCTGCGCCACAGCACTGCTCCACCCCACCCCACCCCCAAGTCTTTTAAAAGTGAAATGGCTACCTTATTGATAAATTCAGGTTATAATGATGTAGATAGGAGAACAGTATTGTTTTCTATTCTTGCTTTATCTAAACAACTGAAATGTACATGTTATAATTGCAGACTTCTTTTTTTCTTTTCAGATGCGTGTTAAAAGAGTTAGAAACATTGGGAAAGGACTTATATGGGGCAAAGCTGATTGCACAGAAATGCCAGGTTCGAAATTGTCCCCATTTCAAGAATGCAGTGAGTGGATCAGAATGCCTGCTTGCCATGATTGAAGAGGGAAATCCTCATCATTATTTTGTGGCAACACAGGTGATAATATTTTTAAAATTGTTTGTACGTATACTGCATATGGAGTTATTTATACTCAGAAAAATGATAGGAGTGATTTAAATGTTGTCTTAAAAAATATTAGCTTCTAAATTTAACCAATAGTAATAAAAACAATTGCCATTTGAGAGATCGAGGAGAAAACCTTAGGCATGTTGATTTTTTACTTAGTTATTGAAGATTCCTTTTTTAAAATGAGAAATTGTTGACACAGAAGTGTGGTGACTTCTTTAAGGTTCTTGAGGGGAAGATAAGTAGAGCAAAGAGTTCCATTGTCTTCTATTTTTTATGTTTCTGTATTTTGTACTGCTTCTCAAAAGTCATGGTACTTATTGCCCAAGGCTGTATCACCAGTATAGAATGTGCTGGCTTTTCAAGGCTGAGAGGCAGTAGAAAAGGACTTGGAGAGTTGATAGTGACTCTGAGTTGATTGTGATTAAGAAGTTCACGTATATACACATTGACTTAGACTTTCAGAATTGTACAATCACAGAGGTGGAAGTAGGCTCTGAGACAGCTGAGTCTTACTTCATTTCTATCCCTTCAACCTCTTCAGGCATTCTTTTCAAACAATATCTTAGCGTAGAAATAAGGGAAACCACCTAACGTATTTACCTTTGCACTTGTTTGTAATTTGTGGTGCTGGAATATTGGTAAATTCATTTCACTTTGCTGCTACTTAACTGTTTCAGCTCAGTTTTTATGTTCTTTATTTATCATAAAATATACTCACACCAGTGAGACATACTGATTTGAAAACTTGTGATCTTTTTTAAAAAAGGCAAGGCTTTCAATACAGTCTTTTCTCTAAGTTCTTATAAGCCTGTTTAAGGTATTTTAATTTAATTGACATATTTGAGCTAAATAATGTTGTTTTTCTTTTTTGATAGGACCAGAATTTGTCAGTGAAAGTAAAGAAAAAGCCTGGAGTTCCTCTCATGTTTATTATTCAGAACACAATAGTCTTGGACAAACCTTCTGCCAAAACGATTGCCTATGTTAAGGCAATAGAGTCCGGTCAGCTTGTCTCAGTGCACGAGAAGCAAAGTATCAAGCAACTCAAAGAGGAACAGGGTTTAGTGAAAAACCCTGAACAGAGAAGAAGAAAAAAGCGCAAGAAAACAGGTGGCCCCAATCCTCTTAGTTGTTTGAAGAAAAAGAAAAAAACAAATGACATAACATCATCTGCTTCTGAAAAGAAAAAAAAAAGGAAAAGAATCCGGAACAGATCTACCTCAAAAGTACTTTCTGAGAAGCAGAATGCAGAGGGAAAATGAATCCTTTGGATTCTTTAAGACATTCAAATGTGAAAAATGAATTTATTTCTGACCGCAAAGTATTTACAATAAAAGACTAGTTTTGTAAATGAGTATTGACCCATATGATGTTTCCTCAAATTAATTTATAAGATAGAAAGAGCGGATGGATTTAGGTGTCATGGAGTTCATTTTTCTTAGTGGTTTCAGGGGATTGTTTTTCAATGTAAAATTATTGGGGCCAGTGTTGTGGTACAGCATGTTAAGCTGCTGCCTGTCAGGCCAGCAGCGTATGAATGCTGGTTTGAGTCCCTGCTGCTCTACTTCCAATCCAGTTCCCTGCTACTATGCTTGAGAAAGCAGCAGAGGATGGCCAGGTACTTCTGCCCCCGTTACCAACATGGGAGACCTGGGTGGAGTTCTAGTCTCCTAACTTCTTTGGCCTGGCCCAGCCCAGCCCTGGCCATTTGCGGCCATTTGCAGCCATTTTGGAGTAAACCAGCAGATGGAAGGTCTCTTTCTGTTTCTCTCTTTTTAATTTTTCCTGTAACTCTGCCTTTCAAATAAGTAAAGTAAATGAACACATATTTTTAATTTATGGTTTGTAACTCCAGCCCCCAATGTTATATTCAAATAATTAAAAAAAGCAAATTAAATAGTTGTCAAAGGGTTGTGATTAACAAGAGGCATCCCCTCTTCCACATTCAACGTCTTTTTTTTTTTTATTTATTTACTTGAAAGGCAAAGCTACAGACAGGCAGAGGCAGAGAGAGAGAAAGAGAGAGAGGTCTTCCATCTGCTGGTTTACTCCCCAAATGGCCGTAATAGCTGGAACTGGGCCCATCTGAAGCCAGGAGTCAGGAGCTTCTTCTGGGCCTCCCACATGGTGTAAGGACCCAAGGACTTGAGCCATCCTCCACTGCCTTCCTAGGCCATTACTGGACAGCTGGGTCAGAAGAGGAGCAGCTAGGGCTCTAACTGGTGCTCACGTGGGTTGCTGGTCACGGGTGGCAGCCCTACCTGCTTTACCACAGCACTGGCCCTCAACTTCCTCTTTCAGCTCTGAGTGGTTGTAGAATTTAAAGGTAATGGCCTTACTTTTTTTTTTTTTTTTTTTTTTTTTTAACATTACCTATCTTGTTTTGTTATGTTTCCCAATAACCATGTAAAGGACATCATGATATAATTTCCACGCGATTATATCCATTAGATCATGTCAGGTTCTGTCTTACTGGGGGATACATCTTGATCTCTAACATCCTTGTATGTGGAAATTTTTCTGCTGAGCTTATCCTCCAGCTTGAAAATCACTACCTTCTTTTGTTCACAGGATACTGTGGGAAAAATCCCTTTACTTTTCCTAACTTAATTTGTCCATTGGATGATTTTCATTTAGATGTGAATTTTAACTTAAATGGCAAGAATTTCATAATAATACTCTGACACTATGAATATGTTATTGAAAGTGTACAAATTAGTCTTAAGTTTCAATTCAATTGTCTCTTTTAGTGTGCCTCCTGCAGTTGTAGTCATCAAACCAAAAATGTTTTTGCACTGTAAGATTGAAGTATAAAGTTATTGGAGAAAGAAATCTGATGAGTACCTCCTGATGTGGTACTTCTTGGGATGCTTCTTCATCTCTACCATTAGAGGATCATGATCAGGTATGAAGGACATCATAAATAAGTTCTACTAATGCCTGAAATAAATGGTGTTTCTTAAATATGAGACAACTCAAATTTATTGCTACAGAAGGGTCATTCTCAGTTGAAATTAGAGATGCTTCTTATGTGGAAAGTAGAATTATAGTTTTACATGGGACTAACACATGGACTGTAATATCTGAAAAACCAAGGTGATGTTTAGATTGTAATTTCGTGATGCCATTTCAAAGTCTTGACAGTAGGAACATTTCATAAAGGAGGCAAGTCTGGAAAAAAGGAAATACCATAATGTCTGTGAAGAAGGAGAACATTTGTTAGTAATGTTGAGAGTTAGGCTACCTAATCAATTTAGAGAAAATGACAGAGTAGTACATAAATATTTTTTAATGTGCTAAGTATGCATAAACAAATTATCTCTTTAGCAAAACATTTATACTTAGTGCTATCTTACTGTCTATTAATAATGTCAACTGGAGAGCTAGAAAAGGCTCACTAAGCCGGCGCCGTGGCTCAATAGGCTAATCCTCCACCTTGCGGCGCCGGCACACCGGGTTCTAGTCCCGGTTGGGGCGCCGGATTCTGTCCCGGTTGCCCCTCTTCCAGGCCAGCTCTCTGCTATGGCCAGGGAGTGCAGTGGAGGATGGCCCAGGTGCTTGGGCCCTGCACCCCGTGGGAGACCAGGAAAAAGCACCTGGCTCCTGGCTCCTGCCATCGGATCAGCGCGGTGCGCCGGCTGCAGCGGCGGCCATTGGAGGGTGAACCAACGGCAAAAGGAAGACCTTTCTCTCTGTCTCTCTCTCTCACTGTCCACTCTGCCTGTCAAAAATTAAAAAAAAAAAAAAAAAAGGCTCACTAAAGTGTAATTATTAGAATATTAAAAGTTTGAAAGTATATTTAATAGTTTTACACTTTGCTAAGTCAAGTATATTTATATATTTTCCTGGCAAAATTTATTGCTTTCAACAAAATCATCTCTTATCCTAGTCCTACAGTTCTAATGTGGACACTACCCTTTTCTCACTCCTAAAATTGTCACTACATGCTTTGTTTTCTCTGTCATTTTGGGGAGAGGGAACCATAGGAGTATTCGCCTGTGATCAAATCTGCCTTGTAGTTATGGGTGAAAATGTGTTGAGAACTTTTGCTAGATTTGGTGGGGATAAAAGTGGGATATGTGAACTTTGCAACGTTTGCCAGTCTGAATAATGGTGTTTCTGACGACCATTAACTTTTTTTTTTACTTTTTTTTTAACTTTTATTTAATGAATATAGATTTCCAAAGTACAGCTTATGGATTACAAGGGCTTTTTCCCCCCATAACTTCCCTCCCACCCGCAACCCTCCCCTCTCCCGCTCCCTTTCCCCTACCATTTACATCAAGATTCATTTTCAATTATCTTTATATACAGAAGATCAATTTAGCATATATTAAGTAAAGCTTTCAACAGTTTGCACCCACACAGAAACACAAAGTGTAAAATACTTTTTGAGTACTAGTTATAGCATTAAATCACAATGTACAGCACATTAAGGACAGAGATCCTACATGAGGAGTAAGTGCACAGTGACTCCTGTTGTTGACTTAACAATTTGACACTCTTGTTTATGGCCTCAGTAATCACCCTAGGCTCTTGTCATGAGCTGCCAAGGCTATGGAAGCCCCCTGAGTTCACCGACTCTGATCATATTTAGACAAGGCCATGGTCAAAGTGGAAGTTCTCTCCTCCCTTCAGAGAAAGTACCTCCTTCTTTGATGACCTGTTCTTTCCACTGGGATCTCACTCACAGAGATCTTTCATTTAGGTCATTTCTTTTTTTTTTTTTTTTTTTTTGCCAGAGCATCTTGGTTTTCCATGCCTGAAATACTCTCATGGGCTTTTCAGCTGGATCCGAATGCCGTAAGGGCTGATTCTGAGGCCAGAGTACTGTTTAGGACATCTTCCATTCTATGAGTCTGCTGTGTATCTCGCTTCCCATGTTGGATCGTTCTCTCCCTTTTTCATTCTGTCAGTTAGTATTTGCAGACACTAGTCTTGTTTATGTGATCCCTTTGGTTCTTAGTCCTATCATTATGATCAATTCTGAACAGAAACTAATCACTTGGACTAGTGAGATGGCATTGGTACATGCCCCCTGATGGGATTGTATTGGAATCCCCTAGCATGTTTCAAACTCTACCATTTGGGGCAAGTCCGATTGAGCATACGACTGTTAACTTTTATGAATGCTCCAAAGTAAGTGCAGTTCTGTTTGGGCAGGATTTTGTGTTCCCTGTAGTTTTACAGCTCTGTTGCCACTCTGATTCCCCCAAGAATATAAAATAAAAGTCATTTCAGAGCAACTTTGAGATAAGAGTTGCAAAGATAAAAAGGATTCCCCCCTTTTTATTATTGTAAAGACTTAAAGATTGTACTTTATGACTCTGGATCTAGGTAAAGCAAGATGGTTGTGGTTTGACAGGTTTAATTAGTAGTTTTTCACGTGTGGGTAGAAAGTATAGTTTGAATTAAAATGTTTTAAAAATGTCTTTAATTTTGCTATAACTTTTCTTAATTCTTAGTTTATATATAAATGAAATAATGTATGTGTGTAGTCTTTTGACTTTATTTTCAATTGGTTTTATTTTAAAAATATTCATTATTATTTTTTATTTTCTTGTAAGGCATAGTTACAGAGAGAGAAGTCTTCCATCTGCTGGTTAGCTTTCCAAATGGACATAATGGCTGGGGCTGGGCCAGGCCCAAGCCAAGAGCTTCTTCTCGGTCTCCCACATGAGTGCAGGGACCCAAACACTTGGATCATCTTCTGCTGCTTTCCCAGGCACATAGCAGGGAGCTGCATTGCAAGTGGAGCAGCAGGGTCTCAAACTAGTATCCATATGAGATGCTGGTGTCACAAATGGAGGCTTAACACGCTACTCCACAAGGCCAGCCCCTCTCAATTGGTTGTATATAGTCATTCTTACCTGTAAAAACAAAATAAAAATGTGCACAAAGTCCCACAAAACTGTATGTGCACCTGTGGTGTGTATTTATCAACTACATAGACAGTAGCACATAATAAAATATACACACAAAAATCCAAAGTCTAAAGGATAGTAAAAATAAATTGTTTATGAAGATTTGGCATTGGGCCAGTGTTGTGGCATAGTAGGCAAAGCTGCCACCATCCCATATGGGCAGTAGTTCGAATCCCAGTTGCTCCACTTCCAAGCAGCTCCCTGCTAATGCACCTGGGAAAATAGCAGAAGATGGCCCCAGTGCTTGGGCCCCTGCACATATGTAGGAGACCTGGATGAAACTAGTGGCTCCTGGCATTGGCCTGACCCAACCCCAGCCATTGTGGCCATTTGGGGAATGAACCAGTGGCTGGAAGATCTCTCTCTCTCTCTCCCCCTCTCTCTCTAAAATCTGGCTTTCAAAAGTAATAAATAAATCTTAGGAAAAAAG